GCCAACACTTAACTTCTTGAAGTTTATACTCTCAAACATAATTATAGTTATGTTAATGTCAGTTGATTCTTAGTATTCTAATAATAGAAACCAACTTTTGTCTCTAGAGACACTAAGCTTGTCCAAACCCCATTCAAACCCCAACACCTCTTTCAGAATAGGCGATGACTTCACAATAAAAGTGGCTCTAAATACTAATTTCCACTTTTTTTTAATGTTTATGCATTCTATCACTGACTGTAATCTCTTCAGTTTATCCCACACATCCATGTGGTGCCTAATATATTAATACACCTATAATATTTACTAAAATTTAATTAAGTTTTTTAAATAGGCAAATGACATAAAGGAATATCACATATAGAGAAGAAACAATACAATATACAGATGCTGTATTTTTCAAGAGTATCAGTAAGTATGTGCCTCAGGAAACCTTAGGTATTGTTTTTGTTATTTAAAATTCTCTTCAATTTTTTTGTGATATTGAAAATTATATATAGTTTTCTAGTTTTATTGAGATATAATTGATGCCTCTAGTTAACAATGCTGTATATTGTATTTGAAAATTATATTTTTTGTGTATTTTCTAGTTGTTAGTTGCTCATAGAAGAAATTCAATTGATTTTTTAATATTATACTGAGCTCACATCTAGCAACCTTGCTAAATTATTCAAAATGTTTGTAGATTCATTTGTATTTTATGACATCATATCCCTGCAAATAACATTAATTTTATTTTTCCTTTCTGATGGTTAGACATTGTAATTATTTTTAGTGCCTTATTTCACTAGGTAGGAATGTCAGTATAATATTAATTCAAACAGTAATGGGCTCCATATATTTGAACTAATAGGAAAAGACAGATGCAATCATTCTTCTATTTTAATTTTGCTGAGATTTTTCTTAAAAATCACAAACAGGGGTTGAATTTTGTCAAGAGATTTTTCCTGTATTTTTGAGATGAACAAAAAGTCTTTCTTTGGTTTTAACACATTAATATATTTAACATGCATTAATATATTTAGTGTTACATTAAAATACATAAATGCATTGATATTATCAGGTTAATATGTCTCAATGAGGCAAATCATACTCATTGAATTTCAAATGTTAAAATCTTACATCTTTAGAATAAATTCCACTTGACCATTATATATTATTTCCTTTATATATTGTTGGAACTGTTAGGCTAATGTGTTTCTTATATTTTAAAAAGTTGTTTACATTTTGTTCATGAAAGATATTGGCCTTTAACTTTCCTGTATTTTAATATCTTTGTCTGATTTTGCTGCCTCATCTAATGAACTAGAAATATTTGCTCTCTTCTTTTCCTTGGAAGAGTTGTATAAGATTGATATTATTTTTTCCTTAACAATTTTATATAAAGTCACTAGTGAACATATTTGGGCCTGGAGTTTTCTTTGTGAAATTAAAATAAATTGAACTATTTAGAACTATTCAGATAATTTTTATTTTCTATTTTTGACTGAGAAGACTTTCCAAAAATTTCTTCATTTCATATAACTTGGAAAACATTGTCATAAAAATGAAAGCAATTCAAATATTCTTCAACTGGTGAATTAATTAAAAAACTGAGGTATATTAACGCATGGAACTCTACTCAGAAATATAAAGAGATAAACATTGAAATTTGCAATAACATGGGTGAATTTCAACTGCATTATGATAAGTAAAAGAAACTACCAGGCTACATACTGTATGCTTTCATTTATATGACATTCTGGGAAAGTCACATTTATAGGGACAATGTTTGTTAGGGGTTAGGACTGCGCTAGGAGTGTGAAAAATTTCAGAGACTGATAAAATTGTTCTATGTGTTGATTTTAGTCATGAGGAATAGTTAAAACTCATGGAACTGAAAGGAGTTTTTAGGGGTGAAATACAGTAGGCAGCTTTAGGAAATTTTAGGTCCATGTAAAAAGCACAGGGCTAAAGAGCTATAAAAAGCACATTTCCATAAGATAAGGAAACTGGGAGCAGCAGAAAATACACTTCCATAAGATAAGGGAGCTGAGAGTAGCAAAAGGCACACATTTACAGAATAAAGGTAAGGAGCCCCTCATTCAAAGAGGGAGGAAAAAAAGCCCAGAGAGAATAGGAGAACAATAAGGGAGAAGAAGGAGGGAACCTCACATACTTTACATGAAACTTGAGCTCAGGAGTTGCTATAGTGACCAAATCAAGGGAGAATAGTGACCAATCAGAGGTGATAGGAAAGCACAAAAAAACTGCAGCCTTTATAAACCATGGAAAAAGGGACTGGGTGGGACTCTTCCCCCTCCCCATATGGGAGTCTGTGCTTGTTTCTCAATAAATTTCCACCTTTGCTATACCATCCTCCAATGTGGTTTCATTCTTCGACTTCAACCGACAAAGAGCCCAGGAAACCATCCTGCCCAGGGGAACACTGAGCATTTCCAGTCCAAATTTCCCATATCATAATGGTTTAATCACTTAACAGAGCAATATTTATAAAATCATATCTCATCTTACTATTCTACTTCCACTTATAAAATCCCTTATTGTATCATATAAAAAAAAGGTTTTTTTTGTTTTGTTTTGTTTTCCTTTGCTTGGTATTTAAGTGATCACCTAGCTAATAATAACTGCTATGTATAGGCTTTATATACTTTATCTCTTCTATCTACAACTTCTGAGATATACATTACCCTATTCTAAGATAAGAAAGCTGAGTTTGACTGTCCGAAGTTACCTACATTGTCACTAATGGAGCTAGGATTCATACTCAAGTCTCTCTTAGTCACTTATCATTCATATATGAATCTTCCCTATTTCTTTATATCCTTTCCAATGTTTGTCATACAACCTATATTCTAGTCAAATAAAAGTATCTTTTTGCTTTTCCTACATAACCCTGTCATAATATCATTCTTTAAATGTATTCTTCACTCTACTCGAAACAGTAATTGTGGATTATTTTCTTGGCCCAATTCAATTTGTATTTAGGGCAGTGAGAGTATCCATCTCTTAGAAACCTTCACTGAGGCTCAGTGTCTGTGTCAGGTACCTCTCTTCTATGCACTGGGAGAATGCTATGCACATCACCATCAAAAAATTTACCCCCAACTTTTGTCATTGTTTTCTTGAATATTTTCTATAGTACAAAGGGAACTCCTTGAGAAGAACTTTCTCATATTTTTATAGCACCAAAGGTTGACAAATGGTGCCAGCCATCTAGAAACAAATAAAACACGTTATTGAGTAATTGAAAATGAAGGATTAATGTATTTTAATGTGGTTAAGACCATACTGAGCTCTTAATCCCCAAGTTCCCAGGTGGACTAGTGATACTATCCATCATGGCCCAGTGATATGTGTTTGGATCATGAAGCTCTTTTTCTGAAGGCCCCACTACTTTTGTTTAAGTTTTGGTATATATTAGAGAACTCCAGAACTGCAGTTGGTTTATATCTTTTTTCTTTGGATCTTAATTCTACACTCCCCTTCTCACCTACTTTAAGACCTTCTGATTTTATAAGAATTATTAATGTCCTAATATTTTAGTAATATTTCCTTCATTCTATCTCACCTACTTTAAGACCTTCTGATTTTATAAGAATTAGTAATATTTCCTTCATTCTACTTGAGAATTATTCATCTTCTTTGATAAGCAGGATAAATGTATTTTTTGTTTTTGTTTTTTTCAATCAAGGAAATATTAATTTTGTTGACAACATAGCTCCACATGATCAGCAGAATTCCCTAAGATTCTGGCCACCTGGTCTACACACTCTATACAATCCTCTCTTCTTGAGTGTGGGTAGTGTTAGGGTTTGGCTGGTGACTCTCAGGCTGTGAAAGAATTCACAATTGAGAGAAGAGATAGATGCAGGGAGGAAGTTTATTTTACTTTCCACAAAGGGACAGGCCCAGTGCAATGCTAGTCAATACAGGTCAAGAAACAAAAGGTGGCTTCATCTTTTCAAGAGTAATGGCTGCTGTTGCTAGGTGACAAGAAAGGGATTGGGGCTGAAGTTGAGCAGATACCAGGGTCTGTCTTGAAAAGTTACAATTTGTTTGTTTCCCAGGAGACAGTCCGGCAGATGTCCTAGAGAGGTGTCTTATCAGTATTTTTCCCAAGCCTGTAAAACATGCTTAGCACAAAAGTTATGAAGAATTCAAAAGAGGCTTTTTTGAAGGGGAGGGAGGAAGGGAACTTGCTACTAGCTACAAATCCTTTGGTGTGAATTATCTCTGAGTTGTAAAAACATGAGGTAGGAGGTGGATACAAGAACATAGTCTTGAGAGTAGCTTATCTTATCTTGCAATTTGAAAAGAAGGGCTTTGAATCAGAGGAGCTAACAATCTTGCAGTTTAATTACCAGCTGCTTCTCATTGATTGTGGAAGGCTACAGCAAGGAAAAAGAAAGGCCCTTTTGCTGTCCTTACAGGTAGGATCTCTAAAGATGATGGGATACTCACCCCTGTGGTTGTGTTGTACAAGACTCCATCCGTCATAGCCGTCTAAGGGAGATTCTTTCCTGAATTTGGGAAAGCAAGTTTCCATGTTGTGAGAGGGGAGCATGGCTTGGACCTGAAGGGTAAACTCCAGGGGCTGAGAATAGCTGCTGGCCAACAACCACCGGAAAACAGGGACTTGGTTCTACAACTAAAAGAAACTGAATTCTGCCCTAGCTGTTTTGGCTCAGTGGATGGAACATCAACCTGTGGACTGAAGGGTCCTGGGTTCGATCCTGATCAAGGGCACATGCCCGTTGTGGGCTCCATCCCCAGTAGGAGGAGTGCAGGAAACAGCCAATCAATGATTCTCTCTCATCATTGATGTTTCTAACTCTCTTTCCCTCTCTCTTCCTCTCTGAAATCAATAAAAGCACTTAAAAAAAGAAACTGAGTTCTGTCAAACAAACACATACACACAAAAAACACATGAACTTAGAAATGAACCCTGAATTTTACATGAGATGGTGGTCTCTGCCAACACTTTGAATTCAATTAGTATGACCCTGAGCAAAAGTCCCAGAGAGCCTATATCTGAACTACTGAACTATGAAACTCATATAGTAAAGGTGTGTGTCCTAAGCTGCCATGTATGTCTAGCTTGTTACACCAAAATAGGAAACAAATGCACTGTTCCTCATTCATGTTAGTAACCCTATGGACATTGCTAGCCTTGTACCTAACTTCCACATTTCTTTGTTAAAAGTGAAACACATTTTAGAGTTATTGTATGGTCTTTTCCTTTTTCTAAGGAATACTGACCTCAAAACTGCCGACGTGCTGTTCGTACTGGTCTCCATGAGATCTCAGAGTTTTTGCTTAACAATGCTTTCCTCTGTGCCGGAAGCCAATCCACCCTTGCTGCTTGACACAGTCGCTGCAGGGAAGAAACATCTGCACAGCTTATGTTTCAAGGGACCTGGCGTATATGGCATATGTTTGCTCCCCCTTTTAACGCTATGTGTTCTAACCAGGACCACCTCCCCGAGAAAGGTTGTTTCCCCAGGTGAGGATTTTTCCCTGGAGTTAGGGAGGGAATAAAACCCCTTAACTAAGTGCCAGGCGGGTAATTAATTGCTTTAACTATGAAAAATCACCCTTAAGCTACATAATCTTTACTTGGGATAATTTCCTTCAGTTACTTCCTTGTAGCTTAATAGAACAATAGGGTAACCTTGGAATAGAGATAAGAAATGCCCTAACCTTTGGAACAGAATTGATAGGATTAAAATCAACTGGTATAAATACAGATGTAACAACACAACAAACACAGAACTTGGCTGGAGATCCTGGCTACAGAACCTGGCTAGGCTGCTGGTCCTCTGAGGATAAATCCCAGCGCTGTTAACTTGGAGGTGTCCAGGGGGCGGGCAGGGAGCTGGGGTGGGGGCCGTGGCTTTGGGCGCTCCCCCCGCTTAACCAGCCTTGGGTCCTCCTCAGGTCTTGGATGTACTAGTGCCTCTGGCCAAGGCCTGCTAACCAGCCTCTCCGGGGTCTTCGCCTCTGGTATAAATACAGATGTAACAACACAACAAACACAGAACTTGGCTGGAGATCCTGGCTACAGAACCTGGCTAGGCTGCTGGTCCTCTGAGGATAAATCCCAGCGCTGTTAACTTGGAGGTGCCCAGGGGGCGGGCAGGGAGCTGGGGTGGGGGCCGTGGCGTTGGGCGCTCCCCCTGCTTAACCAGCCTTGGGTCCTCCTCAGGTCTTGGATGTGCTAGTGCCTCAGGCCAAGGCCTGCTAACCAGCCTCTCCCGGGTCTTAGCCTGCAGCGCCGCTTGCTCCCTCCTCCTGCTGCTCTTCCTCCCCCTGCTCCCAGGACGGCAGGATGGCTGTGCAGGGCACACCGCGCTTCCTCCTGACCTTCGATTTTGACCAGACCATCGTGAACGAAGACAGCGACGACTCAATCGTGCACGCGCTGTGCCAGCGGCTGCCAGAGAGCCTGCGCGCCACCTACCGTGAGGGCTTCTACAATGAGTACATGCAGCGGGTCTTCAAGTACCTGGGCGAGCAGGGCGTGCGGCCGCGGGACCTTCGTGCCGTCTACGAGGCCATCCCCCTGTCCCCGGGCATGGGCGACCTGCTGCAGTTTGTGGCCAAGCAGGGAGCCTGCTTGGAGGTGATTATCATCTCGGATGCCAACACCTTCGGCGTGGAGAGCAAGCTGCGTGCCGCCGGGCACCTGGGCCTGTTCCGCCGCATCCTCAGCAACCCGTCAGGGCCCG